TAGGACAGGGGACCCTGTGACACTAGCACTATATACCTGGGTCTCCACCCCTGTGGACCAGCCTTCCAGACGGGCCACCTGCTCTGGTCTCATCTCCTCTGCTGTACCGTACATCCTCCCCGCCCGCCTCAGGATGCGCTACGTCGCCTCCTACCTGCTGGCTGCCCTCGGGGGCAACTCCTCCCCCAGTGCCAAGGACATCAAGAAGATCCTGGACAGCGTGGGCATCGAGGCGGACGACGAGCGGCTCAACAAGGTAGCTGCCCCCGCGGCCCACCTTCCTGATCCGCTCTTGCCTTCGGGGAGGTGCACTTGGCGTGCTGGAGAGTTTGGGGGAGGCCTCTGCCACTTCGGGCTTTTATTTCACTGGTGGCCTTTTGGGGACCCTGATAGGAGCAGAAGTGGTGTGAGGAGAGCCGTGGCCAGCGTGGTTCAGTAGCATTTCAGTGCGAGTCAGATGTGTAACCTGAAATTCCTGAACAAGGCGAGGTCAATTTTAATGCCACTTTATCTCCCTCAACTTAAAACGTTATTGCAACACGTTAACACAAGCAAGAATCGTTTTGTGCCTTTTTCTCACGACCAAGTCTTAGGACCTCGGTGTCTAGTGCGCTTACAGCGCGTGTCAATCCAAAGAACCCACGTGTGGTGGTTAAAGGCTGCTTTGTTGGACAGTGTGGGTCTGGAAGTTTAAAAGTTTTCTGTTAGTGCCCTCACCAGCTCTACCCTGAGTCTAGAAAGAGCGGATGAAGCCAGCGGTGCCACAGCATGTCTCTGATCGCTGCTGCTTGTGGTTGTTTAGGTCATCAGTGAGCTGAACGGAAAAAACATTGAAGACGTTATTGCCCAGGGTGAGTTTATACTGAGGAGGCTTTTGTTTCCATGGTCCATCCTAATTCCTGCTGGTCAGCCTGTGGCCTGCCAGGTTTCGCTTGTGGACCAGAGCACTCTGGAAGCCTCACTGAAGGAGTGAGCAGGGCTTTAGTGAGCTCATGCTGTGGGTGCTTCTAGACACTCCCAGAAGCCGGTGGCCGGGGCGCATTGTGTGCTCACTGGACCTGCTGGTGACCCCGCCTGTAAAGCCTGACTATCCCTATCCCTGAGCTTTTTTGCCAGGATTTCTCTGAAGCTTGGTATCTGGAAAACCAGGCTCTTGAAAACAGTTCTTGGGCTGGCCCGTTGCTCGCTCGGGAGAGTGCAGTGCTGATAACAGCAAGGCCACGGGTTTGGATCCCTATATAGGGATGGCCGGTTAGCTCACTTGGGAGAGCGTGGTGCTGACAACACCAAGTCAAGGGTTAAGATCCCCTTACTGGTCATCTTTAAAACAAAAAAAAGAGAGAACAATTCTTACCACGTGTTTTTCGTGAAGGGGTTCGGAGAGGGGGCTGAGGGTGCCAGAGGCTCCTGCTCCCATTGGCTGGGCAGATGGTTTTCTGGTGACATCAGGTTGCAGCTCATGGGAATTGTTTGGAAGCTGAGCTGTTGAGGCAGCCGTTCCTGTCCCTGTGCATGTGACCAGGGCAAAGCAAAGTCAGCGAACAGCCTGGTCCGTGACTCATTGCTGTGGCCAAAGAGCTGGACACTGGGGCAGCAGACTCATTCCTTGCCTAGTTAGTAAACATGTTTGTCCAACTGACCTCTGAGGTGGGGGCCATTGTGGATCTCATTCCTAGAAGCTGAGTTCCTGCATAGAAAACTCATTAGTGGGACAGGGTAAGGGAAGAGAAGCCCCTGACAGTGAATATCAAGGAGCCTCTGGTTTGGGGGGAGGGACAGCCTTGTGTTCTGGAAGGACAGGGGACCCTGTGACACTAGCACTATATACCTGGGTCTCCACCCCTGTGGACCAGCCTTCCAGACGGGCCACCTGCTCTGGTCTCATCTCCTCTCTGCTTTCTGTAGGTATTGGCAAGCTTGCCAGTGTGCCCGCTGGTGGGGCTGTGGCTGTCTCCGCTGCCCCTGGCTCTGCAGCTCCCGCTGCTGGTTCCGCTCCCGCTGCAGGTAAGTGGAGGCCTGGTGGCTGGGCAAGGGTCTGAGGCTCATACTGTGTCACTGCTGGTAAAGATGGGGTCTGCACTGAGTCTCGTCCTGCAGCGTGGGCAGTGCTTACTATGCCTTTTATCTTCTCTGCAGTAGAGGAGAAGAAAGTTGAGAAGAAGGAGGAGTCTGAAGAGTCTGATGACGATATGGGATTTGGCCTATTTGATTAAACTCTTGCTTCCCTGCAAATAAAGTCTTTTTATGTGTTTCTTGAATGGTCTATGAGCACTTTGTCAGAGCACCACCTCTGCACTCCTGCCTCAGCCCAGCTTCCATGGCAGGGGGCAATCATGGGGCTGAAGTGGGTAGGGAAGAGGAGCTGCCTAATGAGTCCAGGGAGGGGTTCTCTAGTGCAGAATTGTTGCTTTGCCTCCCACAGATTTGTCACCCCTTTTCCCTTGGGTGATGAAGCCGCCAAAGATTACTCAAAGCCCATCTCTTCTGAGCAGTGAGAATCCCTGAAAAGAGGTTAATCTCCCAGAACCCTCAAGAGCGAGGCATTCCTTCCATTTGGGAAATTAACCACGAATTGGGGTTCTCTTCCCGCATTTATTCTCCAGACCAGGAAGTTACAGGAAGAGAACATAGGTGGGGTTTTGCTAAGTACAGTTTTAACAAGTTTAACAATAGAAGCTGGTAACATTCAGTAAGGTGACCTTCCATAATGCAGTTTGCAACAAAAGCTTGATTTTAGCACACATTCTCTTCTTACAGCAATTTCTCAGTATCTTTACATATCAATCAGTAACCTGTCTGTCTCGGAGCCAGCAACCTTGCTGTGCTACAATTCTTTATCTTACAACAGAGACTAGCCTGGGGAAAATTTCCAGTCCTTTGTCTCGGAGCCAGCAACCTTGCTGTGCTACAATTCTTTATCTTACAACAGAGACTAGCCTGGGGAAAATTTCCAGTCCTTTGCAAGGTTAACATTTGAAACGGCAAGACTTTGGAAAACCATGCCCTGTGAGGTACATTTGCTTTATGTATATTCCATGCAAAATGAGTGTGGAGAGGGGTAGTCTGGTCATCCCAGCTGCCTGGGGTCACTTCCTGTGGGCCTGGAGTGTGGTTAAGCTTTAGGCAGGCTCCTGGCTCCTGAGGACTATCAAGACCTTCCCAGGGAGTGGAATCCTCATAACTTTTAGGGGAGCACCCAGGAAAACATTCTTCAGAAACGTGAACAGCAGAGGCTGATCTGGACTGGAGGATTTGAGTGATATCCAGGGCTCTGCTGGGAGGTGGCTTGGTTCCTGGCTAAGGCCAAGATTGATGGTCCCTGAGTTTTACAGATGAAGGCAGGACCTGAGCCCAGCTGGGGGGCGGGGGAGTGGTACCTGAGTCTTGGTCACAGCTCCACCCTAACCACCTGAGCAATTTGGACAGCTGCTTAGCTCCTCAGGTCCTGGTTTCCCTGCTGTCTGATGGGCCAACCCCTGTTTTGATGGGCAGATTTGGACAGGGTTTTGTGGGCAGTGACTGGAGGGCTAAGTGCTCACTAAGTTCTTTTAGGGTAGGTCTGTCCCCTTCCCCCCACCTCACCACAGGCTCTGGCTTGGAATGTGGGACTGAGGACGGAGGTTACAGCCCTGCCTCTCCCTCCCCATCTGGCCTCCTGCCCTGTTTCTGTGCAGTCTCAGGGCTTCTGCCCACCAAAGCCAGGCACCCCAGGAGCTCTAGTCATCCCCCAGCCTCCGGGTCAGCAATGTGTCCGTTGGCTGTAGTGTGTGGTGTACCAACTGCGAGCCAGGCCCACCTGGGAGCGGGGGACACTGCAGTGGCTGCCTTAGTTTCCTGGGGAGATAGAGTGACAGAGGCTGGCGGAGGCCTCCCTCAGCCAGGGGGACAGATGAGCAGAGGCCGTGGCGTGGGGCGTGAGTGTGGAGGAGAGGCAGGGAGCCACAGAAGGCCCTGAGATGAGGGGGTCTGAACTGCGTTTGTAAAAGAGCCCTCTGGTTGCCCAGAGGAGCAGGGGCTAGGGTGGGAGTGGAGCCAGATGAGCCCTGGGGGCGTCCCAAACCCTGGGTGGGGGGAGTGGACGGAGGAGGGAAAGAAATGATCACACAGGAGCTCCAGCCCCGGTGCAGCGAGCGGCATACTGCAGGTGGCGGGTGAGGGAGGAGCTATGGACGCCCCGTGCTCTGGTAGGAGCCCCCCAGAGGAGTGGACCCAGGGTTCAGGGTGGGGATCTCATAGTTCCAGCCTCAGATCGGAGGGGGCTGCGTCGGCCAGAGGGCACCTTGGGAGCGGGGGCTGGCCTGGGTGGGGGATTTTCTCCAGTCGCCCCATGGAGTTCACGCTGATGGGGGGGTCCCAGCCCCAGCCAGGATTCCAGGAAGGACCGCCCTGTTCCTGGCTCCCAAGCCTCCCAGGGGCCTGGAGGGAAGAATGTGTACCCAAAACAGCCTGACCCAGCTGTGGTAACGGGGGCAGAGGTCTCCCTGCACTGGCCTGACAGTTCTCTAGACGGAGGCAAGGCCTGCATCCTGGCTCTTCCTGGGCCTCTCCTTGGAGCAAGTTGTTAGGAGAACCCTAAAGTCCTTGGCTTCCCCTCAGTAGTTACCCTGATGAACCAACCCCTGGATTTACCAGGCCGGCCTTGGGGGTCTGCCCCCATCCCTACCATACTACACCCCTCGAGCCCTGATGCCTCCAGTCACTAGGTCTGTACTGACAGCCCCTGGTCATCCTGATCGAGTCATACCCTCCACAGCAGCCCCTGCTACCTTCTCCCCTGCCCCAGTAGGCTGGGTCTGGGTTGACCTTCCTTGCTGCCCTGCCCTGTTCTTGTCCCCATGTCAGGCACATGGTCGGTGCTGAGGCTGAGGGCTGGATAGCATAACCCCAGATGGCCCTGTCCTGGGAGGTCCTGCTCTGGCTGGGCCTGGTTGGGGGGCAGCTCCAAGCCCTAGCTGGGACCCTCTGCAGCCTGGGCACCAGCTGGGTCCAGGGCTGAGCTCCTGCCCAGGGAGTGCTCCTGGGAAGACCGATGCCCACTGCCTCCCACCCCCCAACCTAGACTGGCCCCTTGTTGCGGATGGAGGGGCGGGTTGGGTGAGATGCAGGGCTGAATCCTGGATCCAAGCCACGCCCGGTCGGCTCACAGTCCCGGAGAAAAATGCGGAAAAGGGGCGGGAGGGTGACCTCACCCAGGCGAGCTCCACCTCCAGGGGCAATTAGCGGGGGTGCGGCGGGGCCCGCCTCAGACCCAGGTGGACCCCGCAGCCTGAGGAGCCAGGGTCGGACCCAAGCACAGACCGAGGTAAGTGGCCGAGGTAGGGAGGGGCCGCGGGGGCGCGTGGGCCCGTGGAGCTGGGGGTGTCTGTGTGACTTGCATCCGGCCTTGGATGTTTATGGGTCAGAGTCTGTGGGTCCTGGGGGTCTCGAGACCCGTGTGGCTGACGTTTGCTGGTCCCGGTGGGGGCCGTGGGTGTGTCCCTACCCAGGGGAGAGCTCCTTAGTGTCCCGTGTGGCTGTCGTGGGTGGACCCCACAGGGAGGGGGCAGCGAGTGCCCAGAAACCGGGGCCCTCCCCTCGCGGGCACCCGGGCCGGTAGGACCCCAGGCTCCGGGCCCGAGCTCGGCCCTCCCCACACCCCGAGGCCACCGTGTGACCCCGCC